CGACATTTAGTTATAAAAGGCTTCTTGAGGCGATTTGGTAATAAATAAATAAATGTCCTTGAGAAGAATCTGATCTTAGATTTAAGGTCACATTCTGAGATAAATCTAACAAGTGTCTTAGGGGAGAATCTCATCTTAAAATTATAATCAAATTTTGAGGCGATTGACTTAGGTCAATATGTGGATATCCTTTGAAAGGATTACTTCTCAGATTTTGAATCATATTCTGAAGTAATTAAACTATGTTTATTCAAGTATACATGGGGAGAAAGAAGTCAGATTCTCATGGTCTTTAATGCTGGTTATATAAATGTCACTGAATCGAATTAGATCCTAGAAAACGAACGACATTAGGAGACATTTAGTGATGTTTGTTCATTTGCATTAAGTTTTAAAAACACAAATATAAGTATTCTTCCTAAATTTCAGAATGGGATAAAGTTTCTAGATATTTCTTCACAATTAGTTCTTTTGAGATAAACATGTTTTGAACAGGTAGAGGTAAGCAAGTCTATAGATCAATATCTATCATATTATTTAATTGAAATCTTAAGAAATTTTCAGTTAGACCTCGCTTTGTACTATCATTATATTGCAGTTAGCTAAAGCTGACAGTCAGTCCGACAGCCAAAGCGGAACAGAGCAAGAGGTAGAGAAGCTAGATTATTTTTCGCTTCTACAAAGCTTGGGTATTATATGAAACGGAAATTTAAACAAACATTGAATGTTGGCTAAAATGAGACAAGAGAGAGAGTGTGCAAACCCAAACACATGCACATTTTTGAAAAAACAAAACAAGCCAGTGATGTTGTAAAGCGTTTATAATGGTTCGGAAGAGAAAAGAAACATATATAATGCCTTTTCTATACAAAATGTTAAAATAACCTACACGCACATAAACACAACTACACATACTCTCACACACACAAAAACACTTAAAATGTTATTACATAGACAGGATGTATTTTTTTTTAATATTTTTTTACTGTTTTTGCTTGTTCGGTGAATTTATATAAACAAATGCTTAAAACGTTTACGTTTTTATGCACAATTTAAAATATAAAAAAAAACTATATTTATATATAAAAAATAAGAGGACGAAAAAAATTATAGAAATAAAACTAAAGATTTAAATAAAAATCATGTAAAAAAATTAATATAGAAATGTGAAAAAAATATATATATGTATATAGAAAATAGAATCAGAAATAAATTGAAATTGTGTTGAAAACGTAAGCGCCAGAGGTACACGAAATCCAGGGTTGCATTACACAACAACATACACATACAATGAATTAAAAAATATATATATATACTTATATAACAAATAACATATTAAATAAAAACCGTACGCTCTAAGGTGAGGGGTGAAGGGCGGGGTAGGTGGGTCTGGTAGAAAAATAACAAATTATTAATAAGTAGTTAACCTCTACATTGTTTCTATTTAAAAGAAATACGAAATAATAATAATAATAAAATATTTATTTTATGTTTCGAAAAAAAAGTTTCACTACAGAGACTAGGTTTAGTTTTGTGGTGTTGTTTTGTCTATTTAACTGCAGTTTAAAAGCTTTAAATGATGTTTTCTGTTAAGACTTGCCAGAAACTGGTCATCGCTTATACGATAAGGGCATGATCACATTTTATATTAATAAGTGGGCAAATTTGTTATGATTTTGTTTATGCCATTAAGCTCAAGCTAAGACGGCATATCAAGTTCGTTACATAAAAGGATTTGAAAAAACTATGTACTAGTTGAAATATTCAAAAGTAATATTAGACAGAGATAAGAGCTTTCAGAGTATAATATAAATTGAAAAATTTTAAACCCTAAAATGTTATAGATAAACGATAAAATATTTTCTAGTTTTAAAATCAAGGATCTTTATGGACTGAAGTTTTTAAAGAGAATATTCGACAAAAAGAAAGAAAGGATATATCACCCGAAATTCCCTTTAGAATGATTGCACATAGAATGAAGGCAGTTTAAGTGATTTAGAAAAATTATTACTAAGTAAAACTCAAGATAACTTAAAGTCCCAGATTTACATACAGTTCTTGAAACATAACATCTTAGAGAAATGTAATCTAAGCTGAGACTCGGTTAAGAAATACAACAGAGTAAGCTTTCCATAAATATACAGGAATTTAAACTTTGAAGTTCTTTATAGATTTAAAAGATCTTAGAGGCAACAGAATACACGAATAATAGAACTTAGTCATTATCATGAATCTTTGGGAAATAATACCGAAATACCGAATTCGTAGATCCACTTTTGCGGATATATTCTGAATTTTTATTTGATTCTAAGTCAATTTAGCAATGTCCGTCCATCTGCGTATTAAAAACACGGTAGGGCTTAAACGGTGGGATCTAGAAATCTAAATTGGTTGTTATATTGTTTTTGTCATTCCGTTTGAAATATTGGCCTTAGATCCACAAACAATATATATTCTAGATCATTATAAAATTCTAAATATAAAAACCACATCCTTCTGTCTGTTGAAAACACAATAGGAACTAAACGGGATGAGCTAGATTATAGTTAACAGTCCACAATTGAACCAACACCCCATATAAAATCTTTACAATTTTATATTTGCCTTAGTGTTTAATTCGTATGGAAGCTACCACTCCCCCTATTGCTAGTCCTGACATGTTTTCCCTGAAATTGTCATACGAATTTTAATATTTCCGGTGCAAAATTTGAGAAATCTTTCTCTGATTTCCCAGGCACACACACTTTTGTATTCAATTCATATGGCGGGTGCCACGCCCCCTATTGCTAAACCAAATCAATTTATGAACCAAGTTTTGCATGGATATCAAAGTGATTCTTTCAAAATTTGAGGATTCTAGCTCCAATAGTTTCCCAGTTATAGGATTTTTTGCCTTTAACTCATATGGGAGGTTATATTCATAATGATACTAAAGTGGCTCCGTTAGGGCGGTGCCACTCCAGTCCGACGATCTGCCGCAAATGGTTCGTATGGATATTAATCTTGTCTGTGGAAAACTGTGAATTCTAACCATAATGGTTTCCCAGATATACGAATTTTTGTACTTGATTCATGAGGGAGGGACCACGCCCCTATTTTTGTTTCAGGTGAAAAATTCTAGAAATCTATCACTCATTTCCCAGATACACAATTTTTTGTATTCAATTCATATTGTAGGAGCCACGCCCCCTATTGCTAAACCGCCAATTTATGACACAAGTTTCGCAAGGATGTCAAATCCATGTTCATTCAAAATTTGAGGATTCTAGTTACAATAGTTTCCCAGTTATACGAATTTTGGTCTTTAACCCATATGGGAGGTGCCACGCCTCCTTTTAATAGTCCGACCATTTCACGCAAATTGTTCTTATGAATTTTAATCTTGTCCGTGCAAAACTGTGAATTCTAGCCATAATGGTTTCCCAGATATACGAATTTTTGTATATGATTTATGAGGGAGGGACCACGCCCCCTATTTTTAGTGCACCCATTTTGCTTTATTCATGATGATACTAAAATGGCTCTATTAGGGAGGTGCCACGCCTACTATAAACGGTCGGTCCATATATATAATTAATTATATAATACATAATATAATTCACATAATAATATAAGTATCGCTATAAAACTTGGCGTAATTAAGAGTAAGATAAACCTAAAACTTTAAAAAGATCGGTCATATTCCACATGTCACCCCATGTTTCGTTTGTTACAAGATAAAATTCTACATAATTCGGGTATGTCCGATTATATATTTTTTTGCTTTAACTTTAATGAAACTACACTTAACTAAAACTGTTAAAGTTTAATTTACAGTTAAACTTTAAATTTTAAAACTTGACCTTAAATACACATTTTTGTTACGAGTACTTGAATATAGTTTTATAATTTAAAACATAATTCCTTTGTTCAACATATTTATTTTTTCATTTTTACTTTTTTAAGGTTGGATTGACTCTAAAGGTTGTGGTATAGTGGTTAGTTTGGTTGGTTGATTGGTTAGTTGGTGGCAAGAGTGTCGGTAAGAGGTTGGTGTTTGGATAAATTAACTCAGATAGTGTAAACAACAAATAAAATAAACCCAAAACAAAATCAGGTTAAAAAATTTTACAAAAACAGAAAGAGGTATATTTTCAACATTTTCTTTTCATCATTTTCAAATAAAAGACACCGGAGAAAGGGGGAAAAAAATATGGACTAGAACAGAACACAACCGTAGATTTAAATGCAACATTAAAAAGGTACATTTAACCATGTGTAAATTAAGTTTTAATACAAACACACAAATAGACAGATTTATACGTATGTATGTATATAAAAAAGACATGTATACACCAAGGATTTAACACGGCTGTTTACGATTTGTATACATATTTGTAGGTCACCATATACATATATGTACATATGCTTGGTTACCATATACTACATATAAATAAACACTTATACAAATAAACGAATAAACAAAGGAGTAAAATATAAAAATCCAACCAACAAGCAACAGCAAAAATGTCTATAAACATTTCTTAGCCTCCTGCCTCTGTAAACATTTGTACATACATATGTATGTATGTGTGCATATGTTGTTGCTGTTGTTGTTGTTTAAACAGAAGGTAAACATCATTTACTGTTTTTAATTAATTCCTACAGATACAGATAAGAAGCATGCTTCTTCGGGTATATTGGAACATGCAACAAAATAGAACAACAAAAGAAAAACAAACATAAAGTATGAAGAATACCGAGAGTGTTTTAATTTTTTTTTTTATTATTTTTTGGTTAAAAATTGAGAAAACTTAAACAAGGTCACTTCGGAAAATTCTATTTAACCTTAAATTCTCTTTGTTCTTGTCGTTTACAACAAATAATGGTTTAAAAGAAAAAAAGAGCTTTAAAATTTAATATTTCAAGACGAATAGTAACATTCGTTTTCTAAACTCTAATTAAATTTGTTAACTATTTTTTTGGTTTTATTTCTAAGACAAATTCAATTCTTTTCTTACCAGCTTCATCTGGCATTAGTTGAAATACATGATCTGGCGGTTGTGTTGCAGCCTTGACATTACGTGGCGGAGCCGGAACATCTTCTATTGAATTTGAATTTTTTATTATTTGATAAATAAAAATTCAAATTTCAATTTTATATAGTTTCGTTTTTTTTTCATAGTTTTAGCGATATTTTTCGAGGTGATTAAAATGATTTTTATTTGATGGTGAACAAAGTTTGACATTTAAAAAAAAGTAAAGAGATGTTTTTTTTTAATACGATAAAAAGAAAACATAAAAAGGAATGTAAAGAAAGAAATAAATTGAAAAGAGAAGATACAAAAATACATATTGATTTAGTTAATGTTTAAAAGCCAATTCCATTTGTATTTGTTTTATATATATAAATATAAAGTGAGGGAAAGTTAGAGAGGAGCTCTAGTGGGGAGGTGCATTTTTCGGATTATATATTTATAACTAAAAAGCTGTAAGTTTATATACAAATTACATAAAGCTTATTATAAATATGAAAGCTCTCTAGCATATGTGTTTTTCATTGTTGTAAAAGCTTACTTTCAAATAGTTAAAGTATAAGCTATGTAAGTTTTATAACGATTTGAAACATTTTTAATTTTTTAGCAAACATTTTTAACTTTTTTTTATAAAATATTTAAAAGCTTTCTTAGCTTAAAAAGCTTTTAATATTTTCTGTTTAAAAATAATTTTGTTTGTTTCATACATAAAAAGATTTAAAAGTTTTTTATTAGTTCAACTCTTAAAAGCTTTAAATTTTAAAAGTTCTGTTTGTATTAAAAAACTTTAAAGTTTTTGTATATCTTAAAGCTTTGTATTTTAAAAGTTCTGTTTCATGTTTTATATTAATAAAGCTCTTTTTCATTTAAAGGGGTTTAAAAAGCTTTTAAACTTTCTAACACTTTTAAATGTATAAACTGCTACTTCCAATATGAAGTTATAAGCTTTTGTGTTTTTAATTAATATTTCTTTTAAAACAAGAAATTGCAATAAAATGTATTATTTTATGTATTATTATGAATAATATTTATTAATCTTAAAAGCTTTAGTCATTTAATTTTTAACTTAGAAACCGTTTTTAAATAAATTTCTCTCAAAATTTTTCTTAAATGCCTGCGAGCTTTCAAACTTAAATTTTTCATATTTCTCTTCTACCAACTATTTTCTTATTTTGTTTTACAATATCTCCTCTTTACCTTTCCCTCTAATTTAATGAAAAAATGGTGCATATTATAGCATTATTAAAATACATATAAATATCATTTAATGTCTTTGAAAAGTAGAGAGATAGAGAGAAAGAGAGAAGAAAATGAACTGAACGATAAAACTAAAATCTTCTAACTTACCAAGCGTTCGCACAGTCATCACTTTACTCATCATACCATCACCGAGCACATTACGACCAACTACCTGAAATTCATAGGTAGTACCCGATGCTAAGCCATTGATCGTCACTTGTGTACTACCCGAAGGTGTAACCGATATTGTTTGCCAATCATTAACGCCAGCCTCACGATACCAAATCGTATAATCTTGCTTATATTCCGAACCGCCACTATAGCCCGGCATCCATTGGAGTGTTATTGATGATTCGGTTGCTTTGCCGGTGATGTTGTAGGGTGCATGCGGTTGCGTACCTTCAATAACTAGTTGAGTTTGGGACATTAGAGTGGCCACTTCATTAGAGACAACACATTGATAATAGCCGAAATCTTCGCCGCGTAGATTTTCAATGGTAATATTACCTCCAGAGATTTTCACACGATTACGTTGAGTATCCGACAGGGCGCCACCGTCCTGTCTTTGCCATTTTATGGTTGGTTTCTGTGTGCCCTCCGCCTCGACGGCGTCACAATGCATTTCCACACTATCGCCAACCTTACGCTGATACAGCGATTCCGGTTCAACGGTAAATGTGGGAGGTTTACGTACCAAAACCTCCATGGGACCCGAAGATCCCTGTGTGCCCAATGCATTGTAGGGGGTACAAGTGTAGCGTCCCTGATGATCTTCATTGACGCGTGTAAATAGCAGAGAACCATTGGCCATAACAACAATATCTTTCATTTGATAAGGTTCTAATAGACGTTTGTCTTTGGTCCAGGTGACATACTGTAATTGAGGATTTGATTTAATATAACACTGGACAACACCGGCTAAACGGAATGGTAGATATTGTACAGTTGGTGTAAAGGTCACTTTGGCAGGATCTAAAGAGGTGGTGAGAGAGTAAAAGGGTTGATTAGATATTTATAAAAAAAGCATATCAGAGTTCTATATTCAGTTATGCCGAATATTATATAACCTTCACCATAGTGTGTTAAAAAATATTTTTATATTCAATATTGCATAAACAAGTACCAGTTGGAGAACAAAAAAGTACCAAAATTCCTTTCCTACAGATTTTCACTTACTCAGTACTTTAAGTTTCCAGATTTAGTATTATCAAAATTCAAAAAGTACCTTTTGAAGAAGGAAAAAGTACTAAGAAGTCCCCTTTTATAGGTTCTTATTTACTCATGCTCTTCATGTTTAATTTCAGGATTTTAGATTCAATATTATAAAAACTCAAAAAGTATCAAAAAAGTACCAAAAAATAGTCCTTGGTAACAGAGTTATAAGCAAACTAAGTACAAAAAGAACATTTACTATGTGAAGTTGTATGTTGTTGTGTTTTTTTTGTTCTTGTTAAAGTATGTTCTTGATTAAATTTTCAGAGGTTGTCTCGGATTGTTGCTCATATCTCCATTAATTATCAACCGATTTTGTTGATTTTCAATGGCGATCTTCTCGAAAGCATGTGTGACGGAATGTTGAAGATTTGGATCGGCAAAATATTTTGGGTCTTCAGAATATTTATTTCCACATACATACAGACGGACAAACAGACATACTTAATTCATTCTTAACTTTGAAAAAAAATCAAATTAAATCGCTAATGTTCGAGTTTTACATGGAAGGACGGACATATCTTACTCGATTTAGATAATTATTCTAACACGTTTGATATATTTTAAGTTAGATTGAAGATCTTAATATCGAATAATAATAAAACTTCAATGGAATGGAACTTAAACCTTTCCTTTTTCCATTTTGTTTAAAAAGATATATATTTGCTCAAGTTATAAATTCCTAATTAACTTACACTCAACATTCAAATAAGCCGATGCACTCTGGGGATCACCAATACCATTTGTTACTTCGCATAGATATTGGCCCGAATCATCGGCGCTGACTGGATTGATAATTAGCGAGCCATCTTTGCGTATTGTAATGCGTGTCTCCAATGAGGCCACCTCTCTAACAGGTGACCCCTCACGAAACCATCGTACGGTGACATTACCAGGCATAGCCTTAGCTTCACATGAAAATATCACCTTTTCGCCCTCTAGTTTAGTTGTGTTGGTGGGCGGCACCTAAAACGGAAACAAAATAAAAACACAAATAAAATAAATTAATTAAAAAAATTCACTTTCACTTGGTAACGAACGCAAAACTAAACGAACGAACGAAAGAAAGAAAGAAAAAAAAATTTAAACAAAAGGATTTCTAAGGAAACAAACAAATAAACAAATTTTAAAGGAACAACGAAAGGACATTAAAAGCGTATAAAATGACTAATGAAAAAATGACGATGCTGATAATAATGATTATGATAATGTATATGGAGTTGAGGATGAAAGAGGTGTATTTAAATTTTTTTTTTATTTTTTGGTGTTTCTTTTGTTTGCACATAATTAATTTGGACTTATTTTGGGGAGTATTAAAATATAATTTTTATATATTTAAAAAAAAAGTTTTATAACAGATATTTTGTATATTATTAGGGTATGGGTTTCGGAAGTATACCCATATCATACGGTTTGTAGGGTTGTTGTGAACAAAAATCCATTTTGCCTTTTGTTTCTGTCTGTCTGTTTTTATTTACTGATTGTCTATCATCCTTGAGGGGAAAGTAATTAAAACTGAAAACTGTTCATTTAATGTAAATTTCTCTTTTTTCATTCGGTTTGTTGGTTGATGACTGTGTGAGTTACTGTTGCTACACTTTTGTAAAGTTGCAACCAATGGCCATGTAAATATACATTTGATTTTATTTAAACTATAGGCACCTACTCTAAATACTCACACATACACACTAACAAACAAACACTTTTGCACACAGGCACCATTTTTTGCCATTAACCTGCTGTTTTAATAGGAGTCACTGTATCCCTTTTACAAAATATTTCTTTTAAATAACTTACTAAATGTAATATAGAGAGTAGTCATCTCCAAAAATCGTTTATACTGTACACTAGTAAGTAGTTTTTTAACCAGAAATCAGAAGTAATATATTTCAGATTCAACTGATAATTTCTGAAAACACTAGTTCTAAACAGCCACTCGGAACTGCTGATTTATATGTACATATATGTGAACGTATTCATTTCTATATAGTGGTATATTACCACAAACACGACGACTATTCATTCTTTTATTCATGCATGCATGACTATAATATCGTTGTATGTATGCATGTAAGTATGATCAATATTGAATTTTTATAAACTATCCATAAACGTAATTTAGTTTGGTGGTTCATTTCATTTCAATTTATTTTCATGTTCACTCTTTATATACTTTATACACAAACATTTTCTCGCTTTTATTTTCGTCAATATAAGAGTTGCTTTTTTCTCTTTACCTTTTTTTTAATTAAATAAAAATTTCATCAAATATTTCCACAATTTTGTTGGGAAAAATATTGAACTGTTTTTAATTGAAAGTCCAATGTAAATACTTATGAGTACACAATATGTGCTCGATGTAAATAACAATTTGTTTTTAATTTAATGGCAATATCAGACGAAAATAAAAAAAAGAGGAAAAATAATTATATTCGTGTGTGTGTGTGTTTTAATACATGTGTTGATTAATATGTGTGTATAGAATTTGTTAACAAAACCTTTAAATTTGTATTGAATATTTTTATGTGTAAAAGAGCTCAAGAGCTTGCTTTGAAATTAATTTTAGCATAAATTTGTATGTATGTAATTGTGTTTGGGTTAATTTATTATTAATTTCAAAATAACCCGAGATAACATATTAAGCAATTAAATGGTAAAATTAATATATTAAGTTTAGTCAAATATTGGCTTGTTGTACTTGGATCTACAGTTCAATGTAGTTTTGTAGCCCATAGCCGTGTTTTTTGACAAATTTTCATTGTACTTTAGTATAATTATTCAAAAATTGCTTTTTTTCGTAAATAGTCTAGTCTATAGTCTAGTCTATAGTCTAGTCTATAGTCCAGTCTATAGTCTAGTCTATAGTCTAGTCTATAGTCTAGTCTATAGTCTAGTCTATAGTCTAGTCTATAGTCTAGTCTATAGTCTAGTCTATAGTCTAGTCTATAGTCTAGTCTATAGTCTAGTCTATAGTCTAGTCTATAGTCTAGTCTAGAGTCTAGTCTATAGTCTAGTCTAGAGTCTAGTCTATAGTCTAGTCTATAGTCTAGTCTATAGTCTAGTCTATAGTCTAGTCTATAGTCTAGTCTATAGTCCAGTCTATAGTCTAGTCTATAGTCTAGTCTATAGTCTAGTCTATAGTCTAGTCTATAGTCTAGTCTATAGTCTAGTCTATAGTCTAGTCTATAGTCTAGTCTATAGTCTAGTCTATAGTCTAGTCTATAGTCTAGTCTATAGTCTAGTCTATAGTCTAGTCTATAGTCTAGTCTATAGTCTAGTCTATAGTCTAGTCTATAGTCTAGTCTATAGTCTAGTCTATAGTCTAGTCTATAGTCTAGTCTATAGTCTAGTCTATAGTCTAGTCTATAGTCTAGTCTATAGTCTAGTCTATAGTCTAGTCTATAGTCTAGTCTATAGTCTAGTCTATAGTCTAGTCTATAGTCTAGTCTATAGTCTAGTCTATAGTCTAGTCTATAGTCTAGTCTATAGTCTAGTCTATAGTCTAGTCTATAGTCTAGTCTATAGTCTAGTCTATAGTCTAGTCTATAGTCTAGTCTATAGTCTAGTCTATAGTCTAGTCTATAGTCTAGTCTATAGTCTAGTCTATAGTCTAGTCTATAGTCTAGTCTATAGTCTAGTCTATAGTCTAGTCTATAGTCTAGTCTATAGTCTAGTCTATAGTCTAGTCTATAGTCTAGTCTATAGTCTAGTCTATAGTCTAGTCTATAGTCTAGTCTATAGTCTAGTCTATAGTCTAGTCTATAGTCTAGTCTATAGTCTAGTCTATAGTCTAGTCTATAGTCTAGTCTATAGTCTAGTCTATAGTCTAGTCTATAGTCTAGTCTATAGTCTAGTCTATAGTCTAGTCTATAGTCTAGTCTATAGTCTAGTCTATAGTCTAGTCTATAGTCTAGTCTATAGTCTAGTCTATAGTCTAGTCTATAGTCTAGTCTATAGTCTAGTCTATAGTCTAGTCTAGTCTATAGTCTAGTCTATAGTCTAGTCTATAGTCGAGTCTATAGTCGAGTCTATAGTCGAGTCTATAGTCTAGTCTATAGTCTAGTCTATAGTCTAGTCTATAGTCTAGTCTATAGTCTAGTCTATAGTCTAGTCTAGTCTATAGTCTAGTCTAGTCTATAGTCTAGTCTAGTCTATAGTCTAGTCTAGTCTATAGTCTAGTCTATAGTCTAGTCTATAGTCTAGTCTATAGTCTAGTCTATAGTCTAGTCTATAGTCTAGTCTATAGTCTAGTCTATAGTCTATAGTCTAGTCTATAGTCTAGTCTATAGTCTAGTCTATAGTCTAGTCTATAGTCTAGTCTATAGTCTAGTCTATAGTCTAGTCTATAGTCTAGTCTATAGTCTAGTCTATAGTCTAGTCTATAGTCTAGTCTATAGTCTAGTCTATAGTCTAGTCTATAGTCTAGTCTATAGTCTAGTCTATAGTCTAGTCTATAGTCTAGTCTATAGTCTAGTATATAGTCTAGTCAATAGTCTACTCTATAGTCTAGTCTATAGTCTAGTCAATAGTCTAGTCTATAGTCTAGTCTATAGTCTAGTCTATAGTCTAGTCTATAGTCTAGTCTATAGTCTAGTCTATTGTCTAGTCTATAGTCTAGTCAATATTCTAGTCTATAGTCTAGTCTATAGTCTAGTCTATTGTCTAGTCTATAGTCTAGTCTATTGTCTGGTCTATAGTCTAGTCTATAGTCTAGTCTATAGTCTAGTCTATAGTCTAGTCTATAGTCTAGTCTATAGTCTAGTCTATAGTCTAGTCTATAGTCTAGTCTATAGTCTAGTCTATAGTCTAGTCTATAGTCTAGTCTATAGTCTAGTCTATAGTCTAGTCTATAGTCTAGTCTATAGTCTAGTCTATAGTCTAGTCTATAGTCTAGTCTATAGTCTAGTCTATAGTCTAGTCTATAGTCTAGTCTATAGTCTAGTCTATAGTCTAGTCTATAGTCTAGTCTATAGTCTAGTCTATAGTCTAGTCTATAGTCTAGTCTATAGTCTAGTCTATAGTCTAGTCTATAGTCTAGTCTATAGTCTAGTCTATAGTCTAGTCTATAGTCTAGTCTATAGTCTAGTCTATAGTCTATAGTCTAGTCTATAGTCTAGTATAGTCTAGTCTATAGTCTAGTCTATAGTCTAGTCTATAGTCTAGTCTATAGTCTAGTCTATAGTCTAGTCTATAGTCTAGTCTATAGTCTAGTCTATAGTCTAGTCTATAGTCTAGTCTATAGTCTAGTCTATAGTCTAGTCTATAGTCTAGTCTATAGTCTAGTCTATAGTCTAGTCTATCGTCTAGTCTATAGTCTAGTCTATGTCTAGTCTATAGTCTAGTCTATAGTCTAGTCTATAGTCTAGTCTATAGTCTAGTCTATAGTCTAGTCTATGTCTAGTCTATAGTCTAGTCTATAGTCTAGTCTATAGTCTAGTCTATAGTCTAGTCTATAGTCTAGTCTATAGTCTAGTCTATAGTCTAGTCTATAGTCTAGTCTATAGTCTAGTCTATAGTCTAGTCTATAGTCTAGTCTATAGTCTAGTCTATAGTCTAGTCTATAGTCTAGTCTATAGTCTAAGTCTATAGTCTAGTCTATAGTCTAGTCTATAGTCTAGTCTATAGTCTAGTCTATAGTCTAGTCTATAGTCTAGTCTATAGTCTAGTCTATAGTCTAGTCTATAGTCTAGTCTATAGTCTAGTCTATAGTCTAGTCTATGGTCTAGTCTATAGTCTAGTCTATAGTCTAGTCTATAGTCTAGTCTATAGTCTAGTCTATAGTCTAGTCTATATAGTCTAGTCTATAGTCTAGTCTATAGTCTAGTCTATAGTCTAGTCTATAGTCTAGTCTATAGTCTAGTCTATGGTCTAGTCTATAGTCTAGTCTATAGTCTAGTCTATAGTCTAGTCTATAGTCTAGTCTATAGTCTAGTCTATAGTCTAGTCTATAGTCTAGTCTATAGTCT